TTTTTTCGCACAATTGGACCACATTTATGTAGTACACACATAACAGATATTTCTTTGCAAATTAGCCTAGTGAGGCTCTTAGATGACACACAATCGAACAAAACTTTTTTTGTTTAAATACATATATACCTACTTAAAAGTGATTTGATACTAAAAGCTGAAAATTTTGCAAATTGGAAACAGAAAGATGTGCACTTCTCTGAAAACTGGAAAATTTTATAAACAAATGCTTTGAAAACTACCTGCGAATTAATCCCTGCAATCCTGATTTGGAACACCTTAAATTTTGAAAAATTATTTCTAAAGCAGTTCCAGAAAAATTTTCATTTCCAGCAGGACTTACGAGTTATCATAACAAAATAATCAAAAACAAAGCAGAAACAACGATCAGCTGAAAAAGCATAATTTGAGTGCCGAAAGTATTTGGTAATTCAAACACACACAAATACTTATACAGACATTCCATGCCCAATATTTTGAAAAACAAAAAAAAATATTTAGCATGAAATACTGGTACACGAAAACGGTATTTAAAAGCGTTAAATAGCTACTTACTAATCAATTGCATATTAGAAGCGGCCATATTTAATAGCATTTTCGAAAATTAAGCAAAAAGGAAATTAAAGTATTTCGCATAATAAAAGGTCAAATTGATTAGCGTTGCAAAGTGCACACATATGCATGCAGTTTTATTACAGAACGAAAATAGGGTTGGGCGATTAAGCGACTATGGCTAAATAAAAAAATTATAAGTTTTTTAATTCGACAATTAGATCATTTGAATTTGATTATATTAGTGTTTTGGAAAAATTTAAAAACAATATCATTGCTTAAAAAAGTTTATATTTAAAAAAAGTTTGAAACATCTTTTCAAACTAGATTCTGATTTTTTTTTATTTTGAAAAAGGTTTTAACACTTTTAAATTTTTGTACTTTCAAGTAGCTTAAATTTTTGGTTTTTGGTTTTAGAGTGCAGAAAGGAAAATTTAATAATTTTCATTTGCTCAACAGATTTTATAGGTCTTGAAAAATCTTTTCACTCTACTTAGTTCAGATTTTTTTATTACTAATTTGAAAAAATTTAAGTTTTTTTGTTCTTTTTTCCAATTTTTGGCTTAATTAATGCAGAAAGAAAAATTAAATAATTTTGTTGGCAAAGAGAAAGTAATTGTTCTTTAACGATTCCGCAGATAGTTAAAGGATGCTTATGAAAGTACGGAAAACAGGCGACTTTTTAAGTGGTGATCAATTCATTTTGAATACTGTATCGCCAGTTGCAGGGTTTTTAAAACTTTATTTGCTGAGCTCTGAGGGCTATGGAATCGCAGCAATCATGAAAACAAGCGTGGGCGTTTTGTTTAACCCGAACTATGACGAAACGTTAGTATTGATACATAGTGGTGAATTTCCAAAAGAATTTTGCTTTACCTCATAACAATACCTTTTTACAGTAGGTTGCATTTTCGACTTTTTGTTTAAAAATCCAATATTAATACTACTTGCCATTTTATGGATGAAGCAACTTCAGATACATATAATCCTTGTCCTGAAATTTGGCAACAGATTTTTTCCTGGAATATTTTAACCCCTTAATTCCTACCAGAAAGGGCTTTAAAAATTAGATTTAAAGGGTTAAAATGCTAAGCATCGAATTTTATTATGAGTAGGGAAAACGACAGTTTTCTGGGAGTTATGGGGAAAGAGTAAATACCAGGGACCAAAAATAAGCGTTATTTTTATTTTTATTGGTTAAATTTAGTAGTTACTTTTTCGATTGATTTTAACTTTATAATAGGGCCTGCGTTTTTATAACCAATTCCTAAAAGACATATAAAAACTTAATGCTTAAAAAAACGTTATAATTTGATCGAAAACCTAACTAAAAATAAC